AATCTTTTAATTTTATGCTGCCAACCTTAGCAAGTTAAACTGTAACTGTGAAGGCAGCAGGAATCTGTACCTACTTTCTTTAATTGCTGTCATGAGCTACCAACTGCATCATGACACACTTGCCATACAGAAAGTTTCTTTTAAGGCAAACCAAATTTCCACCCATATTAACTCAGTGATTTCTGATGCCAAGGATGTTTCCTCCCTACCTGCTTACATCAAGCCAGGAGAAACAACACTTATAGAAAGATTTAGATTTAGAAAAGACTTCAGAGATCCTTTATTCCAAACCTTTTATTTTACATATAAGGAAACCTGAGGTCCAGATACATTAAATGACTTGTCCAAGATCACACAGGTATTAAGTAGCAGAGCTGAGTATCATGAGCCCAAATTCAAAATCCTCCCTACTACATCATGCTGCTGTCTCTGACCTAAAAATCTGTGCTGATGACATACTAAGATCCAGTGGCAAGAATTCTGGGTCAAAATCAGGCATCCTGTCTAGTCCTGGCTCCACCACTAAAATTTCCTGGACAAATCAATTAATGTCTCTTTGTTTCAGTTTCCTTTTATGTGAAATAAAGATAATGTTTCTGCCCCCCCACCCCAAATCTAGAAGGATAAATCAGGAATCATGAAAGTTACTCAAATAAACAACATTCAAATGACACATATGGATGCTTTTTAGGGAAAAAAGGTGCCATGGACCAACCTCCAATTTATCTCTGAGGTGATGCTGCTTCAATCTTTTTTATTTATTCAGTTTCTCTACCTACCTAACTCTTTTGTTTATTTCCTCAATGAAGTTTAGGAAGATCTGGCAAAAGTTCTAAGTTGTGACACCAGGAAAGATATTTTAAACCAAAAATATTTAGTTTTTCACCCCTCTGCCCAAGAAGGGTGAATCAAACAATAAACTTAGAGAAATGCATGTATGACTTTACTCATGGCGAGGGCACTGGTCTTCAAGGTAATGTTTTCCAGACCTTCCATAGCCAGGTATCCACACCAGGACTTTATTATTTAGCTTGAATCATAATGTATCCCCAGTACATACTCATATTTAAATAGATCAAAAATTCATAATTCTACAGGCAGTTGTAAATGACTTTCAGAATATCCGCCACTATTTGCCTCTATAAGCAAAAATAATTAAGATGCTACACACACGTGTGTGTGTGTGTGTGTGTGTGTGTGTGAGAGAGAGAGAGAGAGAGAGAGAGAGAGAGAGAGAGAGAGAGAGAAGTATTGTTACTATGCTCATTGTGGTAATTCAATTTAACAAATATTCACAAAACATCTACCCCACATAAGACCTGGTAGAAGTAATTTCAGAGATGATGTATATTCTACCCTCAAAAATTTTATAATCTAATGGAGTATACACCTAGTACATAAATACTGTTAAACAAGACAGAATATAAGTGTCATAAGAGAGACAACAAAGTACTTTGGGGGCTCAGAGGACAGAGAGCCAATCATATCCAGTTGGACAGAACCAGGAAGCTCTTCATAAATAAGGCAGCATATATGTAGAATAGTCCTTTAAGAATAAATAAGATCATGGCAGAGAGAGAAGACAGACATGGGGGTGGGGGGAGGAAAGTCAGAATTCTCTGCTGAATGCCAGGCTGAGAAGCTTGAACTTTTTTTCCAGCAAACAATGGGAAAACCACTAAAAGTTTTTTCAAGTGGGCAAGTGACATTATCAGAACTGGGATTTAAAAGACGACTAATTTGGCAGTAGTATGAAGGAGAGTTTTAAAAGTTTTATAAGTTTTAGTTTAACTAAAAACAAACTAGAAATTATATAAAGAAACTAGAAATAGAGAACTACCAACCCCACCTTATGTATTCAACCTTATTTCCCATTCCTTTTCACATACATACATACATAGATACATACATACATACATACACGCCCCCTCCCTTACTTATTCTCCCCTTGGTACCTTTGTTCATGACATTCCCTAGCTTCCCCACCCCTAAATATCCTCCTTCTCCATTTACCCAAATCCTACTAATTTTTCAAAACCCATGAAGCTTTCCCTGATGATTCTATCCCACAATGACCTCTCTAACTCCTATTAGACTCACTGTCTGTAACATAAAATTGGCATTTTCATTTTCAATTCAATTAAACAAACGTTATAAAACTTTATAAATGACCATTTAATTGTACTTAACAGGTATTTTAATATATATTGACTTATTTCTAATTGTTTTGTTTAGGTTTTATCTCTCCAATTAGACTGTAAACTGGTCAAGGATCATGTCACATGGGGGGTGGGAGGGGCAGTAAATTCTCCACAGTGCTTAAGCAACTGTTGGGCACATTCTAGGTGTTCAAAACCTATTGATTTTCCAAGAGCTCTACTCTATTTAGGAGATAAGAAGTGGAGATGACTGGACCTTAGCTTGATATGCCAGCAGGGGCCTTATTATAAGGCCAAATACAGTGATTAATATTTCTGACCAGGATGCTGTTCAGGTGTGGAGAATCTAGGAATCAAATTTCAGTTTTGGAGTCTTATCTCTCCAGATGCCCCATAGTCAATGTTATTTTCTGTTGAGTACCATCTTCAGAGTCTTGCTCTTTGCCACAGTTCTTTTCAAACTTTAACCCCAACTGTAGTATCTCCAAGCCCTAAAGAATCCAATACGGTCCATGGAAAAACTTCAGGCAGTACAAGAGTAGTATTACCTGAACTACAAGGGAAATCAAAACCTTCTCACTATAACCTAACATTTCCAAAGAAGTGTCAAGCAATGTCTGCAAATCCAAGGAGGGCTAGCGGAGAAAATATAACACAAGGTTAAGAATAAACAAACAAACAAAAAACCAACCCAATCCTCATTTAAAAGCACCAGTACAAGTGAAAAGTAAAAGTCACAATTAAAAGAGAGAACAATTCAAATTTCAACCAATCAGTACATGTCCTCATACCATCCGAGCATCTTAGAAGAAGGACTTTAGAGGTCACCTAGTTAGGTCCACCACTCCATCCAGGAATATTTCAAAAGGCAGCAGCATATTTTGGGAAGCATTTTAATTGTTAGACAGTTCTCATAATTTTCATCCACTGGCCCTACACTCTACCTTCAGCAGCTACAAAGCCTAAGTCTACCGCCTCTTCCACAAGCCTAAGTCCACTGCCCTTCAACTACTATGTTCTCCCGCTAAGTCTTCTCTTCTCTAAGCTACTCAGGCATGGTTTGAAAGGCTCCTCTCACTAGCTTACTGTCCTCCTCCAGACATATTCCCATTCATCAATATGTGGTATCCCAAACAGAACACAATACTTCTGAGGTAGTCTGAGAAGCAAAGAGTAGAGTGTGACGAATTACCTCCCTAGCTTTTTTTGTTGGCCAGGTCTTCAGGTACAAGAAAAAGGGTGCTGCCCATATTCACTGAAGTAGATGACACTCTGAAGAACAATGATGTGATAACAAGCAGTTCACATATAAAGGACCGAGATTACACACAGGCAATCAATTCTCTCAATCCTTTCTTCCTCCAACCCTCACCTTCCCATCAATCCCCTTTTAATGAACTCTGAGCTCTCCAATTTTACTGCAGTGTTCTAATCAGAAGAAATAGCAGGGTTCACCTTAGATCCAGCTCATTTTTACCCAGGGCCAATTGGAATGAACCCACACACTAGAGTTTCTACAATTTTGAAATTAGGGAATACACAGGTAGGCAGCTGCTGTCATCAAATAAAGATAAACTCCGCCAACTTCCACAGCATATCCTGAAATGATGTCAGAGCTCCGACCACAGCTCCAACAACACATATTTGTATGATTTTTCCATTATTACTTGAAGGTCTCTCCTACAAGGTTACACTGAGAAATATGAATCAAACTACCAGCTTTCTTTCCAAGGCTCCCGATCCACACTAGGTATAAACCTTTGGCCAGAGACGTTAAAAGCTAGGGTTACAATAAGACAGCTCACGTCTCAAATAAAATGGTCTTATTTTAGCTTCCTCTGTCTGAATGCTATCTTGAAGCAAAGCAAAAGTTAGTTTATAAACTGCTTTCATGATTACAGCAGAAAGGGATGCTGGATCTAACACCTGACTAAATTCAAATCACTGATGGTTTCATCCCAGTATTGTCAGTCAGAGCGAAATGATACAAAATATACCAAATACACTCTTTGGGACCCAGCCATATGAACCACCTGCAACAGTACAGATCCCAACATCAGGGCTTTATTAAACCGTGAAAAATTAACAACTGGGCATAATAACCCTGACAGAGCTTGAAAGACAATAAGCTATGATTAAAAGGTTTTAATCAACTGTCATAAAGACAAAGGACAGGTATGAAAACACCTAAGAGGATCTTACAACAATAAAATGATTTTAAAATCATAATAAACTCAACATGCATTTTCCACAGATGAAAAGCCAAAGTCAAAATGCCACTCAGATCACTCTTTATGTGAACAGGCTAAAGGGCAACAATATAGTCAAAGAGTACAGAGAAGAATACATATGTCTGGGATAAGAATATCTGGAGAGACCCAATGGCAATGGCTGGATCCAAAGTATCGAGTTGGTCTTTTCCTTCAGAAACAAATCCTGGACAAATTCCACATTTTTTTCAAACTCTTTTAGAGAACTTATAAGATTGTCTACATTTAACCTGGAAGCACTGCTGGTGATATTTTGACTTTGTTTAAATAATACTCAAGAAATTGAAGGACCTCTCTGTCTTTTACAGCACCCAAACAAGACCAGAACAACTAAAGACTGAATTTGAAAATGTGGATGTAGCAAAGTCTACAGGACATGAAGATTTTTTAAATAGGGGTTCTTTTTTTTTTTTTAAGATGATGTTATCAAAACATAAGGGCCAACAAGTGAGTTAAATAGTCTTAAAAGAAACTCCTTAGATGAACGGCATTCTGGGCTTTGAAGTCTGCAGTGACAACAAACACCAAGGCCCATCACCTACCCCTTCTCCATTTCTCCTAGGGCACCTACCTTACTGTAAGTCACTACCGATAAGTTGTTTGAGTGACTGCTGGGGGAGAGATTTACAGAGTTTTGTGACAGTCCGTTTTGATCTTGTTCAATTTGGTCAGGAGCAGGAGCCCATGTGTTTTTGCTGATAGTGCCTAGCCCGGAACCCCCAGGGTCTTTTAAGTTGTTTTCATCTGGTTGCCTGTTCTTCTGCGGAGAGGCGAATGGGTTAAAGTTTCCTTCTACCTTGCGGTGCGGTTGCGTGTTGAACTCAGTTTCAAAGGATGACAGCTGCTGCGTTACTCCTAAAAGTCCTCCCACCTCCACACTGAGGATCACCCAGATGACATCTGAAAAATAAAATCAATTCATATGAACACAAGGAGAAACCACCCTCAGGCCACTGTGACAATCAGAGGGAACCCCAATGCTGAACAAGTCTAGAGGCTGGAATGTGTCTAACAGGCACCAAAGGGGGAATGCTATCTTTAAGAACTGCTGCTGTGGCATTTCTACACAAAGTTTTTTCCTTTTTTTTAAATTCCAAATTCAACTTTCATGGGCCCTATGTAGTAAAATAGTCATTTAGACAAGAATAGAAAAGATATAACTCCCAGAATGACGAGATAGATAGTTGTGGTTTTATGTCTTATCACTATAAGTGCATTCAGAGAGATAAAGGCACAACTCTTAAAAAAGAAAAATAAATAAAAAGAAAAATAAAAGAAAAATAAACCTTGAGATATAATTCGCTCTTTTTTCTAACATTTCCCATCACCACTCCCGTCATTGGTTTTGTTTTAGACAAATTCTGAGAGAAAACATAAAATCATAAATAAACATATAAGAAGTTGCTAAAATTCCCTAATAAGCAATGAAATACAAGTCAAGGATTCATGACATTTCATACTCATCAAGAATGGCAAAACCAGGGGAAAAAACTGTTTCAGCCAATAATAGTAGGGCTGTGGGGAAACAAACACTTAAATATACTGATCACAGGTTTCAAGCTCTCTTGATGATTGAGGGAAGGAGTTATTACCTTTTTTATACCCGTCATTTTCTAATATATCATATCACCACTATAACCTACCCATGTAGCAACAACAACAACAGAAGCAACAACAAAGTTGAAAACCCAATTTCACAACTACCAGCTGATAGCATATACAACCTTATGGACCTACAGTTACTCACTTCTACCAAGATAAAGGAAGTGTGCTTCATTATCTTATTTTCTGAGACCATAACTGATCATCTAAGACAGTATCAAACTCAAAAAGGAATGGATCCTTGCCAGCTACATACTTAGAAAACCATAAATTAATATTATGTCCTATTGTATTTCTATTTTGTTAAACATTTCCAAATTACATCTGGTTCCCTGCAGCCTGCTTGAGTTTGACATCTCTGATGTTTGGTGGGACCATAACTTAGTAAGTTTTGGAGACTGACAGGGCAAAAAGAGTCACAAAACTGATCACATCTTTTGACTCAATTCCAATGCTAACTATATGTCCAAAGTAATCATAAATCCACTTTCCCCTCTATATACATATAATATACATATTATATATGCTCTATTTTTAATAACAAAAAAGCAGAAACAACTTTATTTTCAATAACTGGGGAGCAGCTGAATGAATCGTGGTATATGAATGTAATGGTAAATGAATGTATTAGAATATTATGGTACATAAAAATGAATGTGATAAAAAATAAAAGTGATGCAAAGAAAAATAGCACCAAACTGCATGTACACTAAAATTTTATTTATTTATTTATTTTGAAGATAAAAAGCCAAAGGTAGAATAACTTCAGGTAGGCCTGGAATGACAGACAGAACAGAAATTGTTTTTGCTAGTTCATTAATTCATTTAGCTTTGTGTTAAATGCTAGGGTTTTACCTAAGGTTTTCCTCCTTATTGTATAGGCTTATTTTTTTTGTTAATGATTAGTTTATAATTTTAAAATTAACATCTATAATTTAATACCAATTGTGCTATAATTTAATATTAATTGTGTTTCAAATAAATGAAAACCCCAACTACTTGGTTACACTGAAGAAAACAGTGTAAGGTATACCACACTTTAAATTTCCTAATTTAGTTCCTTATTTCCTGAACTGACAGACTAAGTTAGGCATAAAGTAAAAAAAAAAGGGGGGGGGGACTTCTTTTAAATTAAATGGCAAGACTCGGAGAATAGTTGTATTTACATTCTCAAAGGATTACCATTTTACAAAGAATAAAAAAATTCTAGCCTTTCAGGTAACTGCTGAAGGACTAGGATAGGGATCAATTTTAAACTGATTAGGAGTGACAGACCAGCAAAGAATGAGAAACAGGGTAAAAAAAAAATTCTAACCCAATTTCAGTTAAAAATCAAGTAGATACTTAGCAACCCTGACTTTATGAAATTATACAGCATGGGATGCATTTCCTAGTCAAAAAAAAGTCTGTTGTTCAGAACTGCTTTGGGAATACCTTATCTTAGTGGCAACATATAAACGGCTCTCAAATTCTCAGATAAATCTAACAGCTGCAAGTCCAAATTCTAATGTAAATGGGAATATAGTGCCATCTGCTGTTAACTTATGGCAAATAGTCCCAATTAGCCAAGGAATATAGGGTCCTCCATCACTACACCATGACAAAGAAAAAGCTCGGCCCATGTGTGAAGGGAGAGTAGAAGGCTGCCTTCAATCTAGACAGGGCTATTTCAAACAGCATAGGATTCCAGAACATCAAGAGAACACATAGTGCACAATTTAATTTCGGAACTTGAGAATGTATCAAGAGCAAAGCAGGAATGTAAATCAGAACCAAATTAATCATATAAACAATAGTTTTTATTGACTGGGGAAAAAAAAAATCAAGTGGTGGGCCTATATTTAATACTGTCCTATACTAAATGCCACCACACAATTAAATTTAATTTGCTACACATTACACCCAATAATGCCATGCTCTAGGTCAAAGATTCTTCACTGGGGTTCACAAACAAATTTGGGGAGTCCAAGAACTTGGTAAAAAAAAAATTACATATTTGTTTTCACCAACTTCTAACTGAAATTTAGCATTTCCTCCAATTATGTTTTTAAAAAAGCAATGTTCTGAAAAGGGGATCCTTAGGCCTTACCAGAACATCAACGGAACAAGAAAGAATCTCTGCTCTAAGTGCTAGAGATACAAAAAGAAAAAATACAGATATTAAATCCATTCTCTAGGGTCACATAACTAAAAGGTGGCATCTCAGTTGGGTTTTGAAAGAAAAGAAGGAATTCATCACGTTGGAGATGTGGCAGGATGTGCTGGTTCCAGGCATGAAGCAGTTTGTGAGATAAACTCAAGTGAGAAATAAATGTAACTCAAAGTTAGTTTCCTTCTTCCTCTCCACAATATCTTCTTTCATCCAGTGGTTTTCTATGGTTTTCCTGATCAATAATCTGTGACAACAACTAAAGTAATATAAATGAAAAGAATGTTTTTTTAAAAAAGATATCAATAAAAACATTTTTTAAAAAAAGAAAATACTTTCCAAATCACTATTGTTTAGAAAAATGCAAAGCAAAATGACTCTGAGGTACCATATCACACCTATTAGATTGACCAACATGATAAAATAAGAAAATGATAAATGTTGGAGAAGATATGGGAAAATTGGAACAATAATGAATTATTGGTGGAGTTGTGAACTGATCCAACCTATTTTGGAGAGCAATTTGGAACTATGCCCAAAGAGCTATAAAAATGTGCAGCAGCACTTCTACGGCTGTATCTCAAAGAAATCACACAAATGGGGAAAAGACCCACATGTACAAAAATATTTATAGCAGCTCTTTTTGTGGTGGCAAAGAACTGGAAATTGAGAGGATGCCCATCAATTGGGGAATGGCTGAGCAAGTTGTGGTATATGAACGTAATGGAATACTAACTATTGTGCTCTAAGAAATTCATGAGCAGGCAGACCTCAGAAAAACCTGGAAAGATTTGTATGGACTGATGCTGAGTGAAGTGAGCAGAACCAGGAGAATGTTATACATACTAACAGCCACGTTGTGTGATGACTGACTAACATTGATGGACTTAGCCCTTCTCAGCAATCCAAGGGTCTAAGACATCTCCAAAAGTCTCATGATGGAAAATGCTATCCACACCCAGAGAAAGAACTAGGAGTTTGAATGCAGATTAAAGCATACTATTTGCTCTTTTTTTTCCCTTCTGTTTTATTTTTTCTTCTTTCTTGTGGTTCCTACTATTGGTTCTAATTCTTCCTTACAACATGACTAACGTGAAAATATGTTTAATAAGCATGTGTGTGTAGAACCTATATCAGACTGTATGCCCTTTTGGGGAAGGAGGTGAGGAGGGAGGGGGAGAAAACACATGGTCCTGGGGAGGGAGGAGAAAAATGTAAAACTCAAAAGCATATGGAAGTGATTGCTGAAAACTAAAAATAAATTAATTTTTAAAAGTTGAAACCAAAAAAAGGGAAAGAAAAGAAAAGAAAAGAAAATACTAAAATTAAGTCAAATGCAATACAAATGTAATGACCAATCTTGGGCCTCCACGCCTCAGAGAAGTGGAGGGACTATAAGTTCAGAATGTTTCATATGATTTTCATATATGGTCACTATGTTCATTGGTTTTGCTTTTAACTGTTTTTCTCTGTTACAAGAAAAGGCTTATGAGAGAAGGAAGAAGAAGAAACAGGTCTCCATGATGATTAAAATGTAAAAACAAAACCAAAAAAAATCAATAAAATCTTAATGAAAGAATCATGTGCCCAGAAAATAGCCAAATACAGTGCTTTTTCACAAACTTCTCTAGCCCCAAATCCTCTTTTTCCCCCCAAGTAAATTATGTGCCAGACATAAAGAGTACTTACAGCTGAACCTATTAAGAAAACAGAGCAAGGTAAAACCTCACGAATTAACACTGGAGAACTTTAATAAATAGAGCTCCATTTCAGTAGACCTACCCCATAACAATCCCTACCCACCTCCTACTGACTGCATGCCCACTGAAGGGAGCACCAGCAAACTGGAAGATTCTTCCCAAAATACTCTCACTCATGAACCTGAAAAGATGTGACAATTCCTAGAAGGAAAGTACAGGGCAAACAGAAGACTCAGGACTCAAGAGTTCCCGGCAACAGAACAGTGTTAGGTTAGAGGCAAAGGGGACTACAAACCATGTCCTCTCTCCTCCCTTATCGCAAGACGACTAAAGGCTAGCTAATCCCCAGGATGAGCAACCAAAGTAGGAAGCCTCAGCCTGAAGGATGAAGACCTAGGAGGAAGGAGAGGAGCCAAAGGAAGAAGAATCAAGGAAGGGGGATATAAGAG